TTGCTGGCCAGCAATCTTCATCCCCAGTGCTGTGGTCACAGGTGTTTGTTACCATGCCTGGGTTTTTATGTGAAAGCAGGAGATCTGAACTCAGCTCCTCAAGCTTGTGCAGCAAGCACTTTACCAACTTGAGTAAATCTACCAACTCCCCCCTCCCCTTTTTGATCTTTTTGAGACAGGGTCTCCCTGTAGCCCCAACTGGTCCAGAACTCACTATGTAGACCAGGCTGGACTTGAACTCACAGAGATCCACCTGCCTCTACCTCCCGAGTGCACCACCAGGCCCAGCTCAAAAAAAATTTTTTTTGGATTTATTTATTCTTATTTTATGTGCATGAGTGTTTTGCCTACATGTATGTAAGTGCATTATGTGTTTGCAATGATTGTAGAGGCCAGAAGAGGGTGTTGGATCTCCTGGAACTGGAATTATACACAGTTGTGAGCCACCATGTGGGTGCTGGGAACTGAATCCTGCCTCTGCAAGAGTAGCCAGTGCTCTTTACCACTGATCTCTCTCCAGCCCCTTGTTTTTGTTTTTTTGGATAGACTTTTGCTTTGTACCCCAGGGTGGCCTCAAATGTGTGGTAGTGCCTCAGCCTCTTGAGTGCTGGGATTGTAATGGTGGGTAATGTACCATGTCTGGCTAATATTAAATTTTTATTCAATACTGGGGATAAAGTTCAGGCCCTTGTTTTTACTAAGCATGCACTTTGTCACTGAACTATATCCCCTATCCCCAGCACAATCTCTCTCTCTCTCTCTCTCTCTCTCTCTCTCTCTCTCTCTCTCCTGTGTGTGTGTTACTGGGGATTGATCATACAGCTTTGCATATGTTAAATAAGGACTCTACTATTAAACTACATCCCACAGCTTTGTGATGAGCAGAGACTAAGTGCCATCAGGGTGGGAAACATCTTTTGATCTGCCTTTGCCTTTCCTAGTGAGTGTAGCTTCTTTCCTGTGTAAATGTTTCATGCATGGAGAATATTCATCATTCCTGTCACAATCCAGTCCCTCACCTGGTGACAGTACCTGGAACATTTCTTGGGGAACCTCTTGCTCCCCTCCTCTGTTCCTCCCAGTTCACTGAGTTCCATTTACTCTCAAGGACTGTACAAGTGACTTGGGCCTGGCCAGCCAGCACTCTTAGCCACAGTGGTTGGTTCAGGACTAGTCAGCCCTCCGGTCACAGCAATTTGTCTGGGATACATGAATGATCTCAAATGGCTTAGTATGAAGCCCAGTATGCTGGGTAGCTTTAGTGTCAACTTGACACACCTGGGTTGAAGGGGCCTCGATTGGGGAATTTCCTCTATTGGACTGGCCTGTGGTAATGTCTGAAGGGCATCTTCTTGATGGGTGATGTGGGAGGGCCCAGCCCACTGTGGGTGGTGCCACCCCTGGGCAGGTGGGCCTGTGTTGCATAAGAAAGCAGGCTGAGCAGGGGCCGAGGGAGCAAGCCAGTAAGCATTCCTCCATGGCCTGTGCTTCAGCTCCTGCCTCCAGGTTCCTGCCCTGAGTTCCTACCTTGGGCTCTCTGATGAACTGTGACCTGGGAGTTGTAACCTAAATAAACCCTTTCCTCCCCAAGTTGGTAGTGGTCAGAGTATTTTGTCACAGCAATGAAGAAACAAACCAGGACACTCAGATATGTGCAAAAGCCTCAAGCAGCAAAAAACTGAATTTAAGTCTGAAAAGATGTAGACTCAGAGTTTTTGGCAGCAATCTTATTATGCTGTGGAGAGTAAGGCCATTATGAAGGAAGATAGAGCCAAATGGTAGAAGAAACTAAATCCTTGTGACTCTGGATGCCTGGGTCAAGTTATACTTAAAGCCTGATCCCCTGGCCATGTAAGGTGTATAAGCCAATGATTTCCCTGAAGTAATTTTTGAAAAAAATTATTTTTATGTATATGAGCGTATTACCTGTATGTGTGTAAGTGCACCTGAGTCATGCGTTGCCCACGGAGTCAGAAGGCAGCATCGGATTCCCATGGAACTGGAGTTATGGACGGTTCTTAGCTGCCACGTGGGTGCTGGGAAAGGAACGAAGGTCCTCTGCAAGAGCAGCTGGTGGTCTTAACTGCTGAGCCACCTCTCCAACCCTTACTGAAGTGATTTTAAGTTTACCTCCCAAAAGGATATGGAGTAATTTGCTGTAGCACGTCTAACTTGGACTTGCTGAGAGCTGACATGTCTGGCTTTTGACTATCTCCTTTGTAGGAGCCCCACCCTATCTCAAATTCTATCCAGCGAATTCTGAAGCCTCCAGAAGACCCCAAGTGTGTAGTTGTCCAGTGAACCAATCCTCTGCCATTTCCTTCTGTCTCACTGAGCTCTCTTGGGGAGCCCTATTCCTGCAGGAGCTGGAAGTGAGAGGGCAGACCCAATTACCCAACAAAGCGGCTAAGAGATGGCCAGTTCTAAGGAGTCCTCACGTCTTAAGGAACTTAAGGTCTGGGTCCAGGGAGCTGAGGCTGCAGGCATCTGTGGGGTTCAAAGGTGCTGGGACCCTGCTCATTGGCCCTCATAACTCTGCTTCTTGGGCACCTGTTCTGTGCCTGACCTCACATTCATTCTTATATAAAAATCTTCATAGCAACTGGATAGAGATTATAGTATCCCCATATAAAAGACCAGAAAGTTCAATGGCTGAACCAAGGCTCTGTGGTTCAGCAGTGAAGGAACTGGACTTTCAAGACCTGCATGAGCCTTCTTTATGAATCGTGCCCCATGTGTAGGAAGCCATGGAGGGTTACCTAAAATGGGAAGAGAGAAATTTAGGAACTGTAAGAAGTTAAAATGGCCATTTCAGAGGGTGAGACTGGGTCGGTCCCACACCAGGTTACAACCAGAGAGTGCAGTGACTCATCACGTCCCCAGGATATATACATATACATATATATATATAAAAAATTGGTCTTTTTGAGACAGGATCTCCCTGTAGTCCCAGCTGGCCTGGAACTCACTACGTAGACCAGGCTGGCCTTCAAGTCACAGAGATCCGCCTGCCTCTGTCTCCCAAGTGCTGGGACTAAAGGCGTGCGCCACCACGCTCCGCTTTCTTCTTCTTCTTTTTTTTTTTTAAGATATCCAGGACTCCAGCTTGACCGGTGGGGGCGGCTAGGGGGCGTGGCGTCGAGCCGAGAATCCGCCCCCCCGTCCAGGTGAGTTGTCACCCGGGCCGGAAGGGAGGATGCTCCTAGATGGAGCTGGCAAGATTTAGGGTGCCCCTGGCTCTGAAACTGCCGAGCCAGGTTGGCTTGGCTCCCGGGTTCTGACTGGGCGGTCCCGGCCTCCGGTGGGGGTGGAAGAGGAGGTTGCCGCGCCCTGCCCAGCCCAGGTGTCGTCTCCGGGGGCGGGGTTTGGGAACCCGGCATCTGGGGAAGATTCCTGGCCGCACTGGTGCGAGGGCGGCCGTGGAAAAACCGAAGCCCGCGAGAAATCGATCTCGGGAGTGCAGGGAGCGCCCTGGGCAGGAGACTGCCAGCATGTTCTCCCGCAACCACCGGAGCCGGGTCACCGTGGCCAGGGGCTCCGCCCTGGAGATGGAGTTTAAACGCGGCCGCTTCCGACTTAGTGTCTTCAGCGACCCGCCCCAGGTGAGAGGCCGCGTCCCTGACTTGTCTTCCCAGGCAGCCCCTTCCACCCCGACTCCCGTGCACACCGAGGGGCCCGGACGCCGCCATCTGGGTTCCCTCTGGCCCAACTTGTTGACTTGGAAAATCAGGTGCCGGGAGTGTGCGCGACCGTCGGATCTATACGAGCCCACGCATTGCGCGGTTGGGGTTATTTGCCTCTGCCTGGAAAAATCTGGGTTGCTGAGTGCGAGTAGTCCTAAACTCGAATCCCGAACTGTGCCTGAACCCTAGTGCTGATACCCTAGTGGGTATCTCTGAACTAAGGGCATTCATTGGGCGGGCCGGCTCCCAATACTTGGATTCCTGGCGTGGGTGCCAGTTGGTTCCCGGCCGCCTGTCGCATCCCACACCCAGTATCCACCTTCTAGACGAGCCTCCAACGTCCCCAGAGCTCTGTGGCTTGTCCAAAGTCCTTCCCGAAGCTCCTATGTTACTCCTGAAGAGCAGCGTGCGTGTGTGTGTGTGTGTGTGTGTGTGTGTGTGTGCGCGCGCGCGCGCGCACTCTGGAGAGAGTTCCCATACTCAAACTTTCCGCCTCCTTTCCTGAGCCTAAGAGGAGTTTCCTCCCCAGTACCGCCAGTCTACATGAGCCCTACCTGCAAGTCCTTAAACCTGGAGTGGGGGTTGTTGCTTGAGGGGTGTGACTGAGCCACCCCAAAGAGCCTTCAGACCCCAAGGTCAGCCTCCCACTTGCTCAAGGAGAGTCCAGCTCCGAGGTCTCCATCCCTCCCGGTCCTGGGAAGGGTTAAGCGAGCTACCCCTTCCAGCAGCCCCCTTTTCCCTCTCGTCTTGGATTCCAGGCCTGGCTTCTGCTCTTTCCCTCCAGAACAAAGGCCCTTTCACACTCGTGTCCCGCTGTCCCAGGCTTTCTCTGAGTCAGAAGCTAGTGAATTGCGGGAGAGAGTTTTTTGGCCCCTCCCGCCCCAGCAACTTTGTCCCTAGGAACCTGCGCAGGACCAGTGTGGGGGTGCAGGGGGCGAGGCCCGGGACCTCGCGGGGGGGCGGTCCCGTGAGCCAGGGCAGCCCAGAGGTCTGCCAGGCCCTGAAGGGGAACAGCGCTGAGGAGTCGGGGCGGAGCCACAGGGCCCCCGCAGGCCGCCGGGTGGAGTTGTGACTCCGTGGGCCGGGGGTGGGGGGGGGGACGGGGGACGGACAGACAGTCCTGCTTCTGGCTGGGACTCGGGGCTGGTTTCCTGTCTGGAAGGGAAGGGGCCCGCAGAGGGGAGCGGGGGCAGCAGCCAGACACACCCTTGCCTTTCTCCCTCTTTCTCCTCCCTTCTGCTGGAAAAGCGAGGTAATTGTGAGCCCAGGGTGGAGCGGACTGGATGAGGACCCGAGTTGGAAGGGGTGACCCTAGGGGCTGGGCCACATTACCGACTCACCCCTTTGTCCCATTCCCTGAGCTCATCTCTCCTCAAATCCCCACTTCTGTCGCTCTTCCAGTTAACTTTCTCAAGCTAAGCCAGAACGCTCTCATCTCCCGACAAGCCCCAGGACTTGGTAGAGTCTGCAGGAGGCGTCCCCTCCCTGCCCCCTTCCAGCTGTGCCTGCCCCTCACAGTTCTCCCAGCACACACATTCTCTGTTCACTTGGCCTGGGATGTGGGCGGGGGCTGGGGAGGGGCCAGAGTGGGAATGAAAGGGCCTTTTTCTGCAACAGCTGGGAGAACAGCTGCCACCAAAGTAAGGCTGGACACTCTGTGCCCAGAGCCCCCTTTCTAGCTGGCCTCTCCTCCCAGGATATCCCCCTCATTCTCACCTCATTTTCTTTCCTCTCCTGCCTGACTCCTACCAAGGCCTTGGAACAGCACTAGGAGAAAACATTTTGTCACAGAAGACAGAGGGGTCTGACAGGACAGCAGAGGGACAGGGGACAGCCTCTACGTTCTGCCCAAGAGCTGACCACCTCTCTCAAGCCTGGGGCACAGTGGGAGGAGGAACTGTAGGACAGCTGGTGCCTACCTGACCCTTCTCTGGCGGGCAACAAGGGAAGGGGCTCTGGGGGGCACAGAGATGCAGGACAGATTGCACATCCTGGAGGACCTCAATATGCTCTACATCCGGCAGATGGCACTCAGCCTGGAGGTAACCCCCCCCAACCCTGGACCACACACTTCTTTCTGGTGTCTCAGCTCTAATGGGGTAGATGGGGGAGGGCATGGCCTGTCCCAAAGCAGGGAGAGGGACAGATGGTTCTATATACCCCATTTTGGGTGCTGTGTGTGGACCTAGACCCACTTCTATTGACTGGATTACAGTATGCCGATAGGCTAAGGATGTGGCTCAGTTGGTAGAATGCCTGCTCAGCATGCACAAAGTCCTGGGCTCAATCACTGGCTCCCCTGGCACTGCATAAACTGAGTGTGGTGGTGCATGCCTATAATCCCAGCATTTAGGAGGTAGAAGCAGGAGGATCATATGTTCAAGGTAAGGAGTTTCAGGCCAGCCTGGGCTAAAAATCAGCATTATGTTGACAGCAGGGTCTTCAAACATATTTCTGAAAGCCGTGTGGGTGGGGGTGGATGTTTGTTCTGGGGACAAGGGTTCCTTTTAGTTATGGAATGAAGAAAGTTGGATATGAAGGAGGCTTGTGGGAAAGATGTTGCCTGACAGACTTGAAAGGAGATGGTGGGCCAGGAGTTCTGCCTGCTGGGGAGGAGATAGGGAGCTGTTTGCTTATTTATTCTTTCCCTTTTTCTTTTCTTTGTTTTCTTTTTCTTTCTCTCTCTCTCCCTCCCTCCTTTTCTCTTTCTTTCTTTTTTGAGTCAGATCTCACTTGGTAGCCCCAGCTAGTCCCTGAAGTCACTATGTAGCCTACGCTAGCATGGAGCTCTTAGCAGTCCTTCTGCCTCAGCCTTCTGAGTGCCAGAATTACAGATGTGAACCATCATGCCACACATGTTCTTCTTTGCTGTTATTTTTCTTTTTAAAACATTGTATTTATGAATGTATTGCCTACATGTATGTAAGTGCACCTGTGTTGTGCAATGCCTGCTGAGGTCAGAAGAGGGCGTTGGGTCCCCTGGAACTGGAGTTATGAAGGATTGTTAGCCATCATGCTGGTGCTGGGAACTGAACCCAGGTTCTCTGCAAGAGCAGCCAGTGCTCTTAACCACTGAGTCTTCTCTCCATCCTTGTTTTGTTTTTTGAGATAGGGTTTCCAGGCTAGCCTAGAACTCAGAGATCTACCTGCCTTTGCCTTGAAAGTGCTGGGATTAAAGGTGTGTGCCACAACACCATAATCGGTATTCTTTTTGTTGTTCTTGTTGCTTTTTTACAGCTTTAAAAATGTATTTGTTTGTTTATTTCTATGTGTGCATGTCACAGCATGTGTGTGCAAGTCACAGTGTGTGTGTGTGTGTGTGTGTGTGTGTGTGTATGTGTAGGTTAGAGGACAACTTTCGGGAGTAGGTCTCTCTTTTTGCTTTGTGGACTCTGGGGATTACCACCTCAGGCTGGGTGGCAAGCACCTTATACTTACTGAGCCATCTCGCTGACTGGCCTGTTACTTTATTAATTTAATTAATTAATCAATTAATTAATTAATTAGTTTTATTTATTATTATTTTTATTTTATGTGTATGAGTGTATTGTCCACATGTATGTGAGTGCACCCATGTTGTGCAATGCCTCAGAAGTCAGAAGAGGGCTTCGGATTCTCCTGGAACTGGAGTTAAGGATGGTTCATAGCCACTATGTGGGTGCTGAGAATTGAACCCGGGTCTTCTGCTAGAGCAGTCAGTACTCTTAACCATTGAGCCATCTCTCCAGCCCTTATTATTAATATTTTTTAACTCACTATGTAGTTGAGGATGACCTTGAACTCCCAATTCTCCTACCACCACCTTCTTTCTAGGTCATGGACATCCCCATGGAGAAGACAGGAAAGATCCTTTCTTGTAAGAAAATAGCTAATGAACATGTGTGAATGATATCACAGAGTGAAGATACAGTGAAAACAAGATGTAATCAGGGTCAGGTAGAATGGTGGCATTACATGTCAAGGTCTGGGAGAGTTGTGGAAGATTGCAGGAAGGCTTTCCAGACAGAGGGCATATCAAGGGTAAAGAGCCTTTGATGAGGGCGAGGGTGGTATGTTTGTGGAAGAAAAAGAGATCCAGTGTGACTAGACTAGGTAGCTGGAGCCAGGAAGATGGGCAGAGCTAGATCATGCCAGGATAGAACAGTAAAAAGAAATCACTTAGATTATGTTCTGAGTATGATGCTAGACCATGGAAAGGTTTTTAATCCTAGGTTCACCTCAAATTTGATATGTAGCCAAAGATGGCTTTAAACGTCTCATCCTCTTGCTTCCAACTCCTGAGTGCTGGGATTACAGATGTGCATCACCATGCCCAGTTTATTCTAGGTGCTGAGGATTGAACCTGGGTCTTCCAGGATGCTAGTTAAGCACTCTACCAACTGAGCTACATCTCCAGTCCACATCTCAAGTGGG